ATCAGGATGGGTGTGTCAGAGGCAATGAGATTGGCACAGGATAGAGCAGGGTTTAGGGCTGTTGTACATAGGGTCGCTATGAGTCGCAAATGACTCGACGGCACATAACAACAACAACCTTTCCAAGCATGATATCCCTCTCCAAGGAATATCCTCTTCTAATAACATGACCAAAGTATGCGAGATGAAGCCATTTTTGCCTCCAAGGAGCACTCTGGCTACACTTTTCCTAAGACATTTGTTCTTTTGGCAGTCAATGGGATATTCAGTACTTTTCTTCAACACCACACTTCCAAGGTATCAATTCTTCTGTCATCCTTATTCATTGTCTGGCTTTCAGATCTATGACAAGTGACTGGAAAAAAACATGGCCTGAATCAAACACACTTTTATCTTCAAACTGACATCACTGCTCATCAGTAATTTTGAGAGATCCCTGACAGTGGACTTAAACCAGTGTAATACAATTCCTGATATCCTGCCTGACTGCTGGTACCAAGGGTTTTGACTGTGGATCTACTAAATAAGATGAAATAGTTGACAATTTCAATATTTTCTCCATCTCTCATAATGTTGCTTATTAGTCCAATGGTGAGACTTTTTGTCTTCCTGTTTTTGTGATCCAGTCTATATTAAAGGCTATGGTCTTTGATCTTCTGCAGCAAGTATTTCAAGCCCTCCTCACTTTCAGTGAGCAAGGTTGTGTTATCTGCATAGCACAGAATGTTGATCAGTCTTCCTCCAATCCTGATGTCAAATTCTTCTTCACAGAGTCAAATGGTTTGCTTAGCACACAGAATGAATGGATATGGAGAAAGGATAAAACTCTGAAGCACTTCTTGCCTGATTTTAAACCATGTAGCATTCTCTTGTTTCATTTGGACAACAGCTTTTGATCTAAGTATAGGTTCATATAAGCATAAATAAGTGTTCTGGGATTCCTAGTCTTCTCAATGTTAGCCATAATTTGTTATTATCCACAGTCAAATTCCTTTGCATAATCAAAAAAGCACAGATAGACATTCTTCTGGTGTTCTCTGTTTTTAGCCAAAGTCCATCTGACCTCAGCAGTGATATCCCTTGGTGCCACAGCCTCTTCTAAACCTGGCTTGCACGTCTGGCAGTTGCCAATGCACTGTTTTAGACATTTTTTGTCTTTTGCAATATTTTACTTGCATATGATATTGTTAAGTCATTTTCACATTCTGTTGGATCACTGTTCTTGGGAATTAGTACAAGATAATCTCTTCTAGTCAGTCAGCCAGGCAGCTGTTCTTTAAATTTCCTGGCACAGACTGATGAGGGCTGCGTATATTGAAACAAGTCAATTATTAGTCTAGTGCACCGTAAATGTTCAATGAAAAGTTGAGGCTGAACTGGAAACAGATTCATAGGATCCAGCAGATTTAGGGTGGGGTAGCTCCATAGGGAGTTGTGCTATTTACCCAAAAGTGGTTGTGGCAATTCAAACCCCCCCGCCCCCAAGTGGCTCCACAGGAGAAATACAGGCAGTGTCCTTCCGTGCAATATAACAGCCTCTGGAAACGAATGGAGAGCCAGGTATGGGTTGATTTCTTTTCAATGGAACTGTGAGAGAGGGAAAAAATGTGTGCAATAGCATGTTTATAGGAAACGCATTGCCAAAAGTGACCAAAACGAAAAACTCCATTTTTAGCTAACTTGTGAATCTCAGAGGAATAATAATAAACTTTTTGGGTTTTTTTTGTCAGGGAAAGAACTTTTTAAGCAATGTCAGGGTAAATTTGTTAAAATTAGAAGCTAATGTACTTAGGTGTTTAACAGTTTTAGAATTCCAGTGGTGCTCCTAAAACTCCCTGAAGCATTTTCTCCTTACTTCTTGTGATTGGCCTAGAATAATATCACCCGCCCACTGCCGATTACTTTTGTCCTTCCTTGAAGCTTTTTGCCTTCATTTTCTCTGTCTCCCTCTGCTGGCACACTCCCTGAATACTGGAGGTAAGGTACTAAACTTGATGTGTACGTATGCATTTTTATTGTTAAATAATACTGCCCATATATATTGCATAGATTATTAGAATAATAGAACATAAAGTTGCTTACTAAAAAGTATCTTAGCTGTAAATTAAAACTTTAATTTTAAAAACTATTCATAGAAATGTTCATTTCTCTTAACAATGAAAGTTTTCTCTTATAAAAATGATAATCTAAGGAACTTAATTTTTAGTCTAAATGTTAAATGTAGAACAGAACACACATGTTGTCTAGAAATATTTGACAGTGCTTTTTGCTTTGAGACCTATATTCCTTTTGCCAACCTTTTAAAAAAAATCACGTTTCAATCTCATGGTGTAATTAAATAAAATAAGTCATATGTTGTCTTTTGGCTTACTTCACTTTCCCAGCATATTTTAAATTATTGAAAATATCAGTGTTAAAAGAAGGCTGCTTTTAAGAATTGACAACTGAAAGATACAGTTAACTTTCTGTAAGAATGGAAACTTAGATACCCTTTGTCCTCTTTTAATAATTAAACCCTCTGTGCTCATTTCCAGATCAGCGTTTGTTCACGCTTGGTGCACGCTTGTGATAATTAGCCCATAGTAGCTTTATTGCACAACCTTGTACCTAAAGGAGAACAAAAATGGCTTGTGCTGAGTTTCCTTTTCACGTGCCAAGTCTCAGCGAGCTGGCTGAAGGTAAATACAGCAGCAGCTCTGGGATTTTTACAGAGCTCATTTTCCTTTTCAGTATCTGGTCTGTGTTCTTTCTTTTAAAAAAAAGTCCAACTCCTTCTTCCCCAAAACCCACTTTTTTAGCAAAAATGCATCATTTACAAAGTCTTGCTCCGATACCAGATTTACAGGAAGAATATGATAATAGTAATCTAGGTTTTAAATGGGTGTTGCCTAAAGAATTGCACTTTTGTGCTTTCTTATCTTTTTAGCAGTTACAATATGTAAAAACATACAAAGTAATGGCCCTGTGCCAGCATGCTATATACACCACCCCCCTCCCCTGCTCCTGATGTGACAGACTACTGAAGAACTGGCTTCCATTTCCCTCCCCGGGGTATATTCTGGAGTCTTTTCTCTGAAAGAAATGTAATCTCTGCCAATGAGTGCAGTATTTACTTTCAGTGCTTTGTAAATATCATAAGTTACATATTTGTGTCTCTTGGTCTATTTCTATATCTCATGAATGATTATGTAATAATCATTATGTAATAGCTGAGCATGTTTATTTTTTTTTAAATTCTTTTTTTTTGTTTGTTTGTTTGTTTTGTTTTTTTTTTTTAATTTTATTATTTTGTGTGCGTGTACCGTCAAATCAGATCTGACTGGTACAGGAGGATATTGCGCCTCCTTCTCCGGCAGAGCATCTGGTGGATTCGAACCGTGTTCCTCTGGGATTGCAGTGCAACTTCTTGCCACTAGGCCACCAGAGCTCCCCCTGAGCATGTTTATTATAAGACCATTTTTCCTATATTTTTTTGTTAAACAAGTTTAGGTTGAGAATATAAACCCAATAACGTAAAGGAAGATTTGCTATATAGTGGGTGAGTTTTTACCAAGTGTTCCAATTACCCTTTTCCTTGCCTTTATCAGTGCTGCAGAAGGGGTTGAAGGACAACTTTGCTGATGTCCATGTCTCTGTCGTTGATTGCCCTGATTTGACAAAAAGTCCTTTTACCTTTCCTGCAAAAGGTAAGCTGCTTTTGTGATTATCTTTTATTTTTTCAGTTCTAATCTTTTTTGAAACTTGGAATTCTTTTTAAGGACTATTTAAAATTAGCTGTTTGTTGTTGTTATGTGCTGTCGAGTCGTTTGCGACTCATAGCGACCCTATGCACAACAGCCCTAAACCCTGCTCTATCCTGCGCCAACCGCACTGCCTCTAGCACACCCATCCCGATTACCCCAGCCACCAAATCAATCCATCTCATAGAGGGTCTTCCCCTCCTGCGCTGTCCCTCCACCCTCCCAAGCATGATGTCCCTCTCCAAGGACCCGTCCCTCCTGGCAACATGTCCAAAGTATGTCAGACGAAGCCCCAGAATCCTTGCCTCCAAGGAGTAGCTTGGTTTAATCCTCTCCAAGATGAATCTGTTTGTTTTCCTGGCAGTCCTGGTACATTCAGTACCCTTCTCCAGCACCACAGCTCAAAAGCATCCACTCTCCTTCTGTCCTCCCTAGTCATTGTCCAACTCTCTGATGCATAACAAGCGATTGCAAATACCATGGTCTGTATCAGGTGCACTTTAGTCTCCAGAGAGACACTGTTGCTCCTGAGTACTTTAGAGAGGTCCCTAACAGCAGACTTTCCCATCGCAATACGCTTTTTGATTTCCTGACTGCTGGTGCCAAGAGTGTTAACTGTGGAGCCGAGCAAACTGAAGCTGTGAACACTCTCAATCTCTTCGTCATCCATCCTGACGCTGCCAATTGGTCCAGTGGTGAGAATCTTTGTCTTCTTGACATTGAGCCTCAGTCCATACTGAAGGCTGCAGTCCTTGACCCTCCGCAGCAAGTGCATGAGGTCCTCCTCAGTTTCAGCAAGCAGGGTTGTGTCATCTGCATAACGGAGATTGTTAATAGATCTTCCACCAATCCTGATGCCACAATTCTCCTCATAGAGCCCAGCCTCTCGGATAATCTGCTCTGCATACATGTTGAAAACATATGGAGACAGGATGCATCCCTGGCACACACCCTTCCCAATTTTGAACCATGCAGTGTTACCCTGCTCTGTTCTGACTACTGCCTCTTGGTCCAAGTATAGGTTTCGCATTAGCACAATTAAATGTTCTGGGATTCCCATTCTTTTCAGAGTCAGCCACAGTTTGTTATGATCCACACAGTCAAATGCCTTTGTATAATCAATGAAACACAGATATTACTCTATAGACTAAATTGTGCTTAATTTCTTTGCTCAGTGTTTTCTTATATTGATCAAAGTTAACTTTGTACACAGTGGAAAGAGATTATATATGTTTCTTTATAATCTTCTGAATTAATATGTAGAGATATTCAATAGGCTAGAATCCTTCATATCACCTCGGGATTTTGTTTTTATTTGTTCAGGTGACTGTAATAGGAACTTAATTTCATTGTTATGTTTTTATTAAATTAAAATGAAAAGGACTATTAAAATATTTGTATCTGGATAATCTGCTAAATATCTCTCTCTTATTAAGAAATCTGCCCAGTGATCATTCAGCTAATACTTGAAGCAAGGAGAAAGGGAATTAATCTGGTTGAGTAAATATGACTTGTAAAACAGCTTGGTCTATATTTCATCTGATAATCAAATTTTATAATGACACTGCCAGTTTAGATGAGAAAACTAAAGATCACAGGTAAAGTAAGCTCAAGTTCATACTTAAAATTCACAACTAGGTCTAAGCTTCCAAAATTGAAGCTCCTCCCAATATACTCTCCTTGGATGAAGAATTTGTATCTAAACTGTCTCAATGCTCTTTTATTATATTTGACATCGTTGTTAAAAACTATTTTGCCATACTTAATAATATATATATAGTGGTTGATCCTACCTCCTGGTTAGTTGCTTAAGGGCTGAGACCTGCAAGTGGCCATCAAAATTTTGTCTCTTGAACATGAGCAACAGAGGAACTAGAGGCAGGAAGAGTCGGAGGTAAGGGAATGACTGGCTCATTGCCTCCACGAGCAACTGCCTCCTCTTCCATGAGGCCAGCAGACCTTCTATCACTGAACATTCTGATCAAAGATTCTGTAGAAAAATCCTTATCCAAAGAGGGAAGCAGGGGACAAAATTTCAAATTCTCATGGAATCCAGATATCCTGGAGCAGAGGATCTAGATGAGCCTCTGAAGCTATTACCCTAAAATAATCTTTAAACCTTCAATCAAAAATGTGCCTGAAGTCTTCTTAAAAGAAAACAGTAGTGTTATTAGCAAAGATTGTCACCTGAGCATTCTGTTAACATCTGTCTGTATGGAATTGAATTGGCAGTAGCAAGACAAGAACTGTAAGGGGTGGGGGGGAGGTTTGTGCTAGGAGGAAAACAACTCTGAAAAGGAAGTGAGAATGGTTGTGCAACTCAAAGGATGTAGGTCCCTGAATTATACATGTTGAAACTTGGATTGGCTTGTGTTTTTACTGTGTATAATGTCAGCACTAATAATAACACAGTATTTAAAAAACAAATTTGCCATAAAAAGTCTTGGACTCAAGTCCTGTCTCTACATGTTGATTTCATTACGCTGGATAAACCACTTCGTTTATCTGGACCTCAGTGGAGAATAGGATTAAACGTTCTTTGTGTGCCTTACCAGCTTAAACAAACGTTCTTTGAATTTTAAATGCATCTAAAAATTCCACAAGTTTTCCATAGCATGTCACAATTTCAATTACTTTCATAACAACTCCCAAACTCCTTTTGTAGCTGCATCTATTCCAAATACAAATCCCTGCTAAATAAATAATCAAGAACAAGCTACTAAGTAAAAATTGTAACACATAGAAAAGTACAAGGAAGAACCAAAAAATGGTTACTTCTTCCATCTAAAAAGTTATGCTCTGAGAACAGTTTTCTATTTAATAATTTGTGACTCGGAATTGTAATGCTAAGGAAGTGTATGTATATGTATGATTTCTCATGCACACAGCCACCTTCTAGTGAACTGGTCTGGCTAAGATCACTACTCTGATTGCCCTGCAGGTTTGGTACTGTTTGACCATTGCTACCATTTGACATGTTCTCTGCTCTTTGTTCTTCCTTTCCTCTCTTGGTACCTTTCCTGTCTCCTTAATGTTCTTTCCTTGTCATTCTTCTTGGTTTATATATGATTTTTCAATAATTATACTTTCCCAGAATTCTTTCAGCCTCTTATTCTGTACAGTTTCACTGAATGTTCCATTTGCTTTTGCAATTTTAATTACTACTACCTAGATACAAGAATTTTGTAATCTATGCATCTCACTTAGATCTCTCTTACTTGGTGTAAAAAGAGCAAGGACCATGTGGGAACGGCCATGTCTGACTTTTACCAACTTCACAAAAGAGAACTGTCCCCTACAACAGCATTTAACAACACAAAAACAGTTCCCATGAGTTGAGGCATATCCCCCAATAGTGCTACTTTATTAGGTCCAAAATCCCATGTGACGGCTCACAGACCATACGGAACCAGATTAGGCAAATCAAAAGGTTATAATCCAGGTTAGTAACGGAATACAGTCAGAACAGCTTCTGAAATGTGCTCACAGGTAACTCAGCCATGAGCCTCGTGGCTTTAGGCCAGTGTCACAGAGTTCTCAGTCTGCCAATACTGGCTCTGCCAACCCCCCATTCTTCCAAGGAACTTGGGCAAAAAGCTGTTAGTGTTGGTCCAGTGATGTAGCTGTCTGTCCCAACGTCTGCTCCGCCTCATGTTAAATCTCCGACTCTCCACTGTGGCTGCTATGGCTGCTGCTTCTATAAGCCTTTAGTCTGGCTGACACAAGAATCTCTGGCCCCAGAGGACACGGTGAAAATCTTCCAGTAATGCTGGTGGATCTGCTCAATATAATTAGCGAGACTAACCAATCACCTTGAGATAGTCTAACACATTTGATTTGCATATTCCTGCCCCATCTACATGGCAAAATCAAATTCATTGGCTAGGAATGCCATTCTGAACATTAAACTTTTAAAAAAAATTTTTTTTATTTTATTTTTTTACTATTTTTTTTATTGGGAAAAACATATTGGGGGTACAAGGAGGTCAGGGTTGGGGGCAGAAGGGTGAGGATGGGCCAGGATGCAGTTGCAGAGCTGCACAGTTTGGTCGGTGGGGGGAGCAGGTGAAGGAAATGATGAGGGTCCAGTGGGGACCAGATGCTACAGAGGAATGACAAGCATTTTCCAATAGTAATTAAGCCAACTGTCTTATTGATTTGGGAATTGGATGCCGACTCTCTGGCTTCTTCATGCTGAACAGGGGCGTAGATATAAAGGGGGGAAGGGAGGATGCTTTATCACCTCACTGGTGGTCTTGGGTTACAGCTGCTTGCCTTCTTGCTCCAGAGGGCCGCCACGGCTCGCCCCGGGCAGGGGGCCGAGGGCAGCCCGCCCCGGGCAGAGGGCCGCCACGGCTCGCCCCGGGCAGGGGGCCGAGGGCAGCCCGCCCCGGGCAGGGGGCTGCGATGGCTGAAGTAGTCTTTTAAAAAAGAAGAAGAAAAAGTGTGTGTGTGTGTGTGTGTGTGTGTGTGTGTGTGTACCATCAAATTGGATCTGACAGGTACAGGAGACTGCCCCTCCTTCTCCAGCAGAGCATGAAGTAGTGTCTGGGTTCCCCCCCCCCCAAGTGCCTGTCGGGGCCTGGGTTTCAGCTGTCCACACCACAGCAGTGGGCAACGAGCTTAAAGCCCCTGATGGCTCTGGGCGCTGACTCTCACCAGTGGCTATGGATGAAGTCACAGGCGATTTTCAGCCAGCGCCAGTGAACATTAAACTTTTTACACCACACTTAGAAATTAATATTTCTAGCTGCTTACAGGGCATCCCCACCTATATATACTTATAATGGCATAAAGTCTACATGGCTAACAGATAAATTATTAGCTCACCATATTTCTTATTGCCTTTCTATTCCTCTTCAACAAATGATGCTGGTAAAACTGGACTTCAGAAAGCTGAAGCTTTCAAGCCACAAATTACAATAAAGCATGCTTGTCCATGAATGTACTGGATGCAGTTAGCATTGAGCAGGAGTCCTGGGTACTAATGTCTTTCATCTTCTATTATTAAAAAATTCTATGATAATGAAGCCATTATATACTCTTAGTTACTATCTTCTGGAATTTATACTTAAATTAGTTATTCTCCCTATTTTAAAGATGGTGTTTTTTTTTTCCAGGCATCTGTGGAAAAACTAGAATTATAGAAGTAGGCGGTGTACCTTACTTACTGCCTCTTGTAAACAAAACAAAAGTAAGTGTTGTGCTTTTACTTATATTAGAAGATATACTGGTCAGTGTGCCAAGGAAGTGATATGGATTTAGTAATAAAAAGAAAGCCAGAGAATTGCTGTAAATGAAAATTTATGAGTGCAGGGTCCCATTGGGATAAAATTTAAATGCTATTTCTTATCCTCCTACAGGTTTATGATCTGAATAAGATTGCACAAGAAATCAAGTTCCCTGGAGCTTTCATTCTCGGAGCAGGGGCAGGCCCCTTTCAGACTCTTGGGTTCAATGCTGAGGTTAGCATGGAGTTATTTACTGATCAGACATTTGTTTTGCCATTTTCGTTTTACTGCTCTGTGAGAAAGCCTACTTGAAGTGGCTTATGTCTTGTCATCATCACTTGATGCTGTTCATCATTGTTAGGCTAAAAATCAAAATGGACGTTGAAGCTCAACTCAAAAATCCCATGTCAGGATATTTTCCAAAACCAGAACTCAGAAAATCCTATGTCAGGGCATTTTCCAAAACCAGAAAATCCTATGTCAGGACATTTTTCTGAAACCAGAACTCAGAAAATCCTATGTCAGGACATTCCCCAGAACCAATTTCCCAAGACCAGAAACTTTATGCCCCAATGAACCACTGCAGTGACCCCATATAAACCCCGAGCCCAACCCCCAGTGCTACTCCCCTTGCTGAGTAGCCCGACACACAATAAACACCGAGAAATATTTCTACCTTGACGTTGTTCTTGGCTTTGACCCAAACCTTTCAATTATCATTAATTTAATAATGTTACGATACTAAACACCTTTACTTGGTCCAATTATGACGGAGCAATAGCAACCCTCCAGCAAGTTTTCAGAGGCAGTAAATCACATGGGAAGAGATTGCCCATGTTTTGCCCTCAGAGTCACTGGTGGATTCAAACCATAAGCCTTTAGGTTAGCAGTGCAAATCCTCACCACTTAGGTCTTGAAATAAACTATTTGAGTCTGGGATGAAACATCCATTAAGATGTTTTAGAGATAGTATGTTAATTAAGATACAATAACAACAGCAGCTCATTGCCATTGAGTCGATAATAGTGAACCCCCACCGAGCTTTTGTAAATTGTTAAAGCAGACTGTCCATCATTCTCCTCAGGACTAGCTGGTGGGTCCAAAATGCCAACTTTATGGTTAGCATCACTATCCGTTACACATTTCACTAACAAGGCTCCTTAGAATAATGTTGCTGTTATGTGCCACCAAGTCTCCTGCGACTCATAGTGACCCTATATAGAACAGCTCTAAACTGCCTTGTCCTCATTACCCCAATTACTGAGCCAATCTGTCTCATCCAGGCTTTTCTGTTCCTGTGCTGTTCCTTCATCCTTCCAAGCATGATGTCCTTCTCCAAGGACTGGTGCATCCAGGCAGCATGCCCACAGAATGTGAGATGGAGCTTTACAATCCTTGCCTTCAAGAAGCAACTTGGTTTCACCCTCTCCAGGACAAACCTATTTGTTCTCTTGGCAGTCCATAGAATGTTCAATACTCTTCTGTTGCACCACAACTCAAAAGCATTGATTCTTCCTCTGTCATCATTAGTCATTGTCCAGTTCTCTGATGCATAGAAAGTAGCTGTGAAGACTATGGTCTGGATCTAGTGCACCTTAGTCTCCAGACTAACATTGTTGCCCTTTAGCACTCTGGAGAGGTTCCTGACAGTAGATTTCCCTAATG